AAAGAACGCATATTTTCGTTCGGGGTTTTATAAAATATATTTGAATTTGCAATACCACCGAAAATCAATGGAAAAATGCATGCTACTTAAGTAGTCATTTTATACCGGGTACGGTTTGTATAGGCGTTTGAAAAGCAATGTTTTTAAAAGCTGACATCCTGCTGAGTCCGAAATATCATAGGATTATGCTGCAAAACAATCAGTTTTACAACCGCGCCTAGGTAATCCTTCCTAATCGAAAACGCATTTCAGAATTTCAGTCAACATTTCTTGAGATCGGTCACCCACTGTATACCTGGACTAAGTGCATTCTTGTTAAGGCTGCCTAAGGCCATGGTTAAGCACATCCCCTTGCTCTTAGCAACAGTTGACGTTTACTGAGTTGGCCCACCTACTGTAGGTAATGGCGACCGGAGTCATTTTAGAAGAAGACAGTCATGCAGAAGTTGTCCTGCATACTTATCATTACTGAATTCAGATATTTATGCATCTCGTTACTCAAGTGTGTTTTCAGTGTTGTTAAGGCTGCCTCAAGCCATCGTGTTCTGACCTGGTTAAGAACATTTCCCAGCTCCTAGCAACGGTAGGGACGAGGAGAGGTCGTTTGAGGGATTCTAGCGTACTTACGGGGATGTGCACTTATCTAAAAGGTAAATTGGTGTGTTTTTTTTATTTAACTCAATGGAAATCAATCAACAGTGTCTTCAAAAATGCTGAGCACCTGAAAATGTCCCTGATAAACGAATCTATCTCCATTTTCCGCTTATCAGGCTTGTGCTGTTCACGAAGACCGTGCAAAGCCCGAATTTCGCAACGGGTAACTCTCAGATTCCAGACGCCATTGCCGATTTATTTGAACGGTTTTTATTAAATAAAGGAATGGAAATTACATTTTGAGTACCAGGCACCGGTTATCTCCACATACTGTTAGCTGGCTTCGGGAATGAACTGAGTGGGTGATCTGAGAACACAGGGCCAGTACTTTTCGTATACCGGCGAGGAACAGCTTTCCGCTTTGGTCGTTCGCTTCCAATAAACTACCCGAAAATTCATAAGTCGAAATACATTGTACGGTAATGCGTGAATCATCGTGAAATCTCTTCACGTGCATCACAGTACTGCTGACAAAATTGCCTTTTTTTCAGTTGGTGGCACGCCGAAGACCAAAAATTCGTCATCAGTTCTTATTTCTATTGCACCCAACTGATAAATCAACGTTAGACGCTGTACAGCTAATGTCTCTGAAGCGGACAGTGTTCACTTTCGACATCTAACCAATTATCAGTTCTCACGGTAACGATACCAGTTTTGCTGACATGCATGTAGGGTTATTTTCGATGTGTTTCAGACGTTGCCTGCCCAAAGCGAGCACCATCACACACACACACACACGCACACCCATCGCCACCCAAGGTGCTTTGAAGCCAACTATGCCGACCTGACCTTTGCGACTGCATGCAGGGCACGCAGACCTGTTAGGTCTTTTAGTTAGGTCATCACAGAGTGCATCAGCCTGTCTCCCGTTTGCTCTCAACCTCAGGACGCTAACCAGCAAATAGGCTTTCTAGGGCACAAATGTTACTAAAGTGTGATTTCACTATTGATAGAGATAGAAGAGCCTAACTCATGCACGGTATTACTACAGCTCTTGGTGGAAACTCTTACCGACCACCCGCTTGAATTGCACTCAGGAAGTGTTATATAAGTTGATTGGGCTTCGGAATTGATTTTCCATGCTTTTATCACTCCACTTCCGTCTACTAGAAAGGATTTGGAAAAATCATATCAGACTGTGTTTTGTGTAGAATTACGTTTTTCCCATTCTTATGCCTGAGTGGACCATATCCTCCGGTTTAAAGACATTTCACCAATGTCTAAATATTTTTAATCCACGTTTTAAGACTGCATTCTGCGTACTTTGAGCAGGAAGAATTCATTTTATCATCACTTTTACCTACAGACAAGTCTAGTGCTCCGGAGTTAATGCAAATTGTGTGAAGCTTACGGCACACTCTAAGTAGCATTAATAAACTTACATACGTTAGACCATGTGAGCTTCCCAAAAAAGGTCATAGTTTCGAAAGCTTTTAAAGCCGAAATACGTTCCTCCTTCAAGTGCAAAATGTAAAGATGTGACTTCCTAAAAATTTCATAGAAGATGGATTTCCTTTCGTATTTACTACGAAACGTTGCCGAATTTGTAAGTGCAAAAACTGCAGACATTGCGCAGGTTACTTTTTACTAAGGCGACTTTCACAGACGACTGTTCTGATGACCAATCGTAAGCCGACATGCTGCCATGTACGGCTTATTTAACGGTCGTTCCCTAGCAGTTAATGTTAAAAATTTACTTAACTAATTGTTGCCAGTCATATGCACGGTTTTCAATTGAGGTCTATGTTTTGTAGACTAAGGCGTGTGTTTTGTGCATGGCTGTATAGAATTGGAGCCAGATCTAATAGGTCTTGTTCCAACACTGGCTTTGCATACCGAGCTGTGTGCAAATAACTTGTATCCTCTGCCTTAGCGACGCCCTCCGATCGCCAACCAATGTCATGAGTCACACAACTTGCTTGCTGATGGTCAATCATTTCGAAAAACGCGCTGAACTGTCGGCCATGAGGTCTGAAGTGGGCATCATCGAGGAGACTTCACCGTCAGACGACCCCAGGACGGAAGAAAGTCCAGTTGCCGCCTAGAAGGACGGCTGCTCAGATTCAATTCGCTACTGACCCCTATACCGTCCAGCCAACATCTCATCCCCGTCTTCATTTTGAAGCCTTTTACTATCGTCTAAGATCATTTTTCCTATTGTCAATCATCTGCGCGCGTGTATTTCAGTCGGCAAATGTTTTGGCTATTTCACCAGCATGTATGCATGCCATCCTGGTAGAGGTCCGATGTTTTTTAAACCTAAAAGTTTCTTGAATTTTTCATTTTCCCCGTCTGCAAGAGGCTTAGAGAGAGGGCTGTCAAGTTATGGTAGTAAGAGTGATCTCTCTCTGGTTTGACAGTTGGTAGCACAAGCTAACACACAAAATCATGCGTAAAAGTGGTAAAATTTTGTTAAACAGAACAGGCAGGGCATTTTCGGATGGTGAAGGGTTGTCAAAACTTTTGTATTTATCGCCTTGAGCAGCTGAGCATTAACGGATACGGGCTAAGTATATGTGCGGGGCAAGGAAAACTGTGGAGAACTATCTACAGTATCTTTAAAAGCGGGTGTTATCCGGTAGAGCTTTTGGTCGGCCCTTCGTCGGCAGGATGGCATTCGCTGGTCCGTGCCGCCCGAGGAGTCGACGCTGCCGAAAGGTCTACATTGGTTCATCCTTCTGCACCCCCGCGCGTAATTCTTTAGCAAGAGGAAAGCCCATTTTAAACAAAAAAAACGTTCGGCGAGGAGAACAATCAGGTAGTAAAAAAATTCTTTAATTATTGTTCGCTGGAATGCACACGTTTACCAGTGAAGCAGGAGTGTTAACATGCTGTTGGATTTGTTAAACAACAGTTGGCAGTCTCTTGCACTGGCGTATATACTTAATTTTTGCCCATTAAGGTCGCCAAGCAGATCGGATCTGCCAGCCAGCGTAACTTTGTTTGGTTTCGGGTTTACTGGATTGCTATCAAATCTGCCTCGGGAGCAGTATGCCCTACTCTTCCTCCCTACAACCATTGCTTTGTCTCTGTTATCTGTTAGCGTAGGGGGCAAGGATGCGGTCTACCGTCCTGCCTACCGTTATCTGTGCCTTTGGAATCGGCGCTTCTAACAGCGGCCGGCTAGTTGAGACGACACCTAGTAAACGGCCAGAATCCTTCGTTGAAGCCTTTTATAGTAACATGTGATGGGACCTGCTTTATTTATTTATGCGGTTGCTGCAATTGCTGACCTATAGCTGGTCTCCCGAAGGTCGTGATGACCATGTGTATTTTTTATGCTGCTTTTACTTGGAAGCTTAGTCATCCTTTATTGGGTTCTTGCAGGAAATACAAACGTCGCTCTCTCTCTCTCTCTACGGACCGTCACATGTCATTTTGGTGGTTGTTCTCCTCTAGTGGTCGGTGCAGGCACAGCGCAATAGGCAAATGATGCCTTGCATAGTATGTCGGCCAGGTGAGCCGCGGGGGAAATAGTTTCGTTCCTGCGCATCTTCGGTCTCTTTGCCAGTCCCTGAGCGTTTGTAGATGCGGTGCTTCGACCGTGACCAAGTTCATCTACATTCGCTGTCCATCCGGAGGCACTTTCGGAGTTGCCAGCTTCTAGTGATGTGATGCTCCGTGTCTTCATGGCCCTGAACATTGCGCAGCGCACAATTGCCAGGGCAGGATACAATGCCGATTGTCTGCAGAAACTGTCGAATTTAGAGTACTTCTTGCACGCAAGACCAGTTCGCCCACCAGTAACAGTGTCGGATGTTAGTGAACGCCTCCCTGCCGCAAATAGTTTATTTTGTATCTGGGGATTCATGAATAAATGGTAAGATATGGTTATGTAGCCCCACCTGCTGCACACAATACTGTTGGGGTTGGGGGGTATGATTAGAGGTTAGAGTTAGGGGGTTATGGTCAGGGACTAGGACAACTATTTCTCAACCACTCAAAGTACAATCGCACATTCTCAATAGCTTTTCTTTTGCATAAAACTACTTGACCTCGTCACCTGTGCGTTCCCCGGCCCCACCTCTAAAAAGCCCCACTACCAACGGTTGCGTATTACAGGTGGCTGGGGTTTGTTCACTTTAGGTGGGACTACATAACCACATCTGACCGAATAAATCTCATGCTCCCTTTCGGACTACATGGGACAGAACGTGCCAAGGACATCTGTCAGTTACTTACGGATTTGCAATAAAAGATGCTTATCCTTTGAGGCGTTTATCCTGGTGCTTGAGTCACAAAGCAACATACTGGTAGCGATCCGCAGTTTTCAAGCGTAATTACACACTGTACTGACCACGGCGCAGTGGGGAGCGGCGCTCACCAGTTCGTTGTGGTTGTGGTATATGAGAGAGAGCGATACCGTTGGCCCATACCTGCGGGCATCAGCAGCTGTTGATGATGATGATGATGATGATGATGATGGTGGTGGTGGTGGTGGTGGTGGTGGTGGTGGTGGTGGTGGTGGTGGTGGTGTTTAGTCATCAATGAGACACCGGTGCTCAAGGAAAACGGAGGTTAGAAGGACCAGTTTTAGTTTGCCCTACACTGTCAAGAAGATAGGCTTAATCAGAACTTGAAGATGTAGTGCTCTCTCGAGTTTAGTTTGCTGCTTTGCGAATGTGAAAATTCATTCCACATAGGGATCTGCTGACTTTGGTAGGTACGCCTACCTCAATGATGTGCCTATACCTGCTATACAACCGCCTATGAAGACTGTGGCCTTGAGTTTTGAGGCAGAACGGGATCTGTGATTGCCACGTGCATTTAAAGCAGCCCTGAACACGCCATTTCGAATGCTGAGAATACCAGCTACATAATGTAGGGCATTAACACATTAGTCAGGCGTTGTAAGTCACGACTGTAGACCTGCTTCTTTGAGGCCTTTCCGTATTCGGGTAAGGTACGGCTATCTATTAACGGCAAATCATTCAATCGTTTTGGTACATCTCTGTGAACAAAGATACTGGGTTTAGAGTCCACATCGATTAGGCGAGGCATAGGCACATGGTTCAGAGGCGATGGACTTCCCAACCGCATCTCTCCGTCTCATAGACAGAGTATTTTAGGAGTCCGTGTTGTTTCTGATCGTGGATGAGCAGAAGATCTGTCTGATGTCTGCAGTTGTGTCCACCACGCGGATATGATAGTGTCTCGGTAATGTCCTTTAACTTAGGAAACGCAAGACATGTGTCTGACTAGTACACGTTTCTGCAGTATATTAAAAATGTGTCTTGAATATTCAGCTGAAATTCGGTTGTTTTCGATCTTGTTGCAATGCACGGCGCACCTATTTACCCGATATCGGTATGTTGAATAACAGAGACTAAAACTTTAAAATGATGAAAAGTCCCCGAAAACCGATCTAAGAGTCGTCACCTTCAAACTCGTTTTCCAGCGTTTAATTATTTGGATTCCATCTGGCTGCAAGCGTGGTTGAACTCTGACTTATGACAGACGCCCAGGATCATACAAATATCAACGTAATCTCTCATATGCCAGACTATGGCGATTTTATTGGTTATAACGCCAAACTTAATAAATATGCTAAGGAAAGAGGTGACCGATAACTCGTTTTGTCTAAAGGTCCCTTTTTACGACAGCTTCCAGCCCCTTATAGCCGTGGTCTCATTTTCATCGCCAGCACTTGCATGTGCGCGCTTTGTTCCGTAATCTGACAGGATGCAATGCGCCTCGATTGCCGGATGAGCTTTTTGGTTAAAACTATTCCATAACTCTGGAGGATTAGCCATCAGAGATACCTCCTGACTGTAGAAGTGCGTACACATTCAGCTTGCTTGGCCTTGGAGATCGGCGCCTGCAGTCAACGCAGAAAGCGCGGAAGTCAGGAATAATCGGTGAACATTCCTCACAAACAATGTATTTTCCATCTCATTCGGCTGAGCCTAGGCCCAGTGGCTCGAGCATTTGGAGCGCTGACCTTGAAAGTGCCCAATAATCTGTCAGAGTCCAGTTTAAACCTCGGGTGCGGCAGCACCTGCAGTTGGAATACCAGTGACAGCAAGAGTAAGGCTAGCTTTTTGTTGGAGTTGGTGTATTTATGGTTGCTACTTATTTCGCTTCGGCAGGTTGTATTAATTAGGCTTCAAGACTGAATCGTGGTATTTAATCCGGTTAAAACCTTTTCGCGTAATCCCTCGTTCTTACTTTGCTCTTACAAACAGAATGCATTTCAGGTTACTAGTTAAACCGGCTAGGTAATTTTACTGGGGAGCAAACTTGGTACAAATCCATACAAGCCGTAATTACAGACTGTCCGTGGAACGCGCATTCGAGTTTATTAACTAATGCAGTTCTGATGTTTCATATGGTTAAATACCACTGGTTGCCCGTGCTAATCGTAGTTTGATCAAAGAGAAAAGTGCTGGGCTCATCCCCTTTTGCAGCTTTTCTGCCTTTGGCAAATAACAATGCAATCTATTAATCAAATTACCTTTTGACCAGCACCTTCCTTGTTCGCAGTTTCCACAATGGCAACACGATCGGTGCGCGCCCCCTAACATTGTATATTCCCGATCGAAAACCGACAAGGCAACGGGCTCATGGCCCGGCGGGTAGAAGCGTGGACTTCCAACCCAACAGGTCGCGAGTTCGAGGCTCGGGTGTTCCACACTTCGGGCTTGGGTATGGCTGGCTGACGACGGCTAATAAGCCAAAAATGGCCATTCCAGTCTCCCTTGTCTTTGTCAGTAATGTCATTCTGCCTATATATCATGCACCGCTGTGCGGCTGCTGGTTGGGCTCGAGAGAGAGCCCTTAAGGCACAACGGAACGAGTGAGTTCCGTATGAACGATCGGTGAGCGCCTCCTACCAATGGCAACATTGTGCAAGACAGGCAGTTAGTATGGACCTGCTGTCTGACGAAATGAAAATACGAACCTGCATTCCCACCCACCGTACTTAACAATACTTTTCTTGAAATTGATCCCGCATTAAGTTGCATTTTAACGCTGCACTTGAACGTAATGACATTCGAATATCGCGAAGGTTCTCTGCTTTATGCATTAAGTGTAACAATTTTTCTTCCCGTGCTACTGCGTTCTTTTCAGTGTCTCGCGGTAAAAAGGTGATAGGACACCTGTTCAAAGTGCCTAAATGAAGAATTCAAAGTTTATCCAATGGCTTAAAAGGCTGATGAATGACTTATGGCTGCGCTGAAAAAGGCCAGGAGCTAAAAAATGAACGACAGGCGATTTTCAAAATATATGAGCATGGATGAGTATTCGTGCGAAATTCTCGGATTGCACGAGTTTTCTTGAAGTATTTTCACATGCGTCTACTTTCTGCAGTTTTAAACTCGTTTGTCGCATTGTGTATGCGTATACGTCAGTAGACCTCTTAAGACAAAGGATCTGAAAGCGTGTGACATGCCAGTATCAACAATCCATGGCCCTCGCAGCCTGGTATGCGCTGGCAGCTCCCTGACACCTGGTTCCCTGCCGCTAGATGCGCTTGCGCTCCCGCTGGGGCATACAGGTCGTGGGCATGACTGTCCATGCATGATCCTCGTCCTTCTGACCCCTGCTGGCGAAAAATCCTGGTCAAGTGTATATTGTGGACCAGGGGGTATGGTGACAAGCCTAGGTGCGGGTCTGGCCGTGCCATCCACCTGCGTTCGCCTTCTGTCTCCGGTATTTTAACTCTATCTTGACACCGGATCCGGGTGAGGAGTTTGGAAGAGAGATCGCAGCAGATGCTGCGCAAGTCTAATTTCACAATCATTAATTCACGCCCAAGTCACCGTGCCTGCTGCACCTTGCTGTGTAGCACACGGTGGACATCGTCGGAATCGATGGTAGAACTATCGGACCTCTAAAGTAACCTGTAATAGACGTATAGGAGATATCCAAATTATGAGATATGAAAATCGGAGTCTATGTGGTCCGTCCCCGACCTCTCAGGCGTTTCGCATTTTGCTCAATAGCCTAAAGCGTTGCACAACACTTTCTTAGTTCACAGAATTGATTCATCGTTGGTTTATCAACAAAAATATGTCCATATTAGTGTGGAAATCGAGTCTTCTGCATATTCAGTCGCCCTCTGGCGATGGAGACGGTGAGAGAGAACGTATGCAGGTTGGCGCGTGTTTTAATGGTGAAAAATCTAACGCCCCACGAGTTTCGTACAGTTTTTTGAGCAAACTTAGTCACTGTTGGTGCGGATCCCGATGGGACATATGTGATCGTCTGCCAATGGAGATGAACGGTGTTCCTTCCCTCCCTACAGCTGACGTCGTTTCCTCCGCTCCCGCTGGTCGCTATTCGCTCGCGTCCTCCATCTCCAGTACGCTCACTGGCCCTTACTCACAGTTGTTGACGGCGCTACAATCCCCACTGGTGTCTAACTGATATGATGTGACCATTTCCCACTCCAAATGAATCATTTGCACAATCTCTCGCTATTTCCTTGTGTTAGTTATTTTTCACTTTTGCTACTCTATCCACTTGTCTATCGTAACATAGGCTTCATACGCTATAAACCCTTTTTCTCATTATCTTGTATGCATGCCTGGTGTGGTATTTAACGACTCTGTCCAGTGTAACATAACCGGAAATCTGCCCTAGGCGATCTATTCGACCTTGTGTGTATATTACCCTCGACGTCTTCGGCCACTACAAGAGCATTCACCTACGTCCTGGAGGTTTGTCAAAAACATTTGACGTCCTAAAAGTTGGCTCCTCCTTATATGTAAACGGGGTAGGCTCTAATGTTAATAACGGTGCTATTTTTAGAAAAGCGGAGGCTCATTCTTATTACAAATAGTTTTGATTTCCAGATGTGCGAACTTTTTCGCCCTAAAACGATGTATTAACGTTAACCGGCAATTTATTGTTTTTCAACATTTCACTTACTAGGCAAATGCGCGTTTCGTAGAAAATACTATTCAATTACTTACAAGTGAAGTATCTACCGGAAAAGACACAGTAAATATTGGTGACTCCCTGATGAGCCGAACTCCTCGCAGTTGTGTCATGCAGCGGCATAATGTGGGCGAAACACATGTCCTGGCCATTAGCTAATGTCTATGTGGTAAATGATTCATCTGTTCCCTGTTGGCAGGTTATTAGTATTTCGCTGAAGCTGATTGATTTCGACACAAACAGTTAGATCAAATTTCTTGACTGAGCCTATTAGGCTTTAATTCGAAGAAGTAACCTCAAGTTAATGCATTGACTAAATGCCATTATAGAAACCGAAGCGTAAAGGCAGTTTCTGCCTCAGTGAAAGTCAGTTCTCCAAGGTATGTATGCAGAAGTTCTTTTCAGAGGGACCACCGACCGAAAGACTGAATGACAATGCGACAGGTGATGACGGAATCTAAAGATTAAAAGAGCCAAGACGAAGCGGACCGTAGAATTAGATACTAACTTGTCATTCAAGTCAAACAACGACTTTCTTGATCAAGGACTGTGGAGGGTACTGCCAACCCAATGCGCCATTATCGGATTTTGTGGCTTCAACGAGCATTAGGGATAGCTATTTAGTAATCTGTTAAACAAACTGTCCGAGTCACTTAAACAAGCTGGGTACTCTCCAATTAATAACCTCTGAGCAGAAACCTCCCATAGTTGCACTAACAGCAACATGGTTGACTGACGGAGTGGGACGCGCGAAATAAGTATCGGAGGCTGTCAAATGCTCCCTCGTGACAGGATTCAGCACAAAGATGAAGACACCGGAATTTATTCATCCCAAGGATTTTTTCCGTTGTCAATATGAGATAGCCGATATAGCAGTATGAAATTATGAAATTATGTCACGTTTGATTAAGATCAGACAACAACCCCTTCACTTACGCGTTCTCTGTCGACTTCCTTGTTTGAATGAAAGCTTCATGGAATTACTTATCTTACTGAACTAGGCATACAGGCCAGAAAACAACCTACTAATGACTGACTCCAAAGTCTCTCGAATAGGCTGGGAAATTCCTGCAGCTAGCGCACCGACAGCATCATTTAGCATTCGTTTTTAGACGGATACCTTATCCTATCCACGGATTCCATAACCAGGCTGAGAGGGAACACTGTCCCAGCTATTTAAATCTCGCTTTAATAACGAGAAAGGAACCATGATGGAAGTAAACTCGCAGACGACACTCAAACTAAGTAAGCAAATCGCGTTCAGTTACGTACGTTCCCATTTACTCTCCCCATAGCCGACTTCCTCACAGACCGACCTCAGCGTGTGTGCATTGGATGCCACCAAATCGGAGTGAAAAACCATTCCCAGTGGGGTTCCTCGGGGAAGCGTGCAGCGTTTCATTTTTTCCTCAACATACGTGAACGATATTCTGAACTGCCGGACCTACGACAAGGTAATGATTTGAAAATATTGAAAAGCCAGTGCACGCGCTAAACTTGTAAAACAACTAAGATTGATTGCAATAGCTGTGTGATGACTGGCTTCTCAAACTCAATTTAAACAAATGCCAATCCATCCGATCAGTGTCCGGTTACAGGAAGGATTTCAGATCTGGGTGTCTGTATCTCCTCGGAGGTCACGAACTCGAGCTTGTAAACGAGGTAAAGGACCTAGGTGTATGGATAACGTCCACTCTCAAACCCTCGTCTCGCTGCGCCAAAGTAGCAAAGAAGGCCATGAGTATCCTGAAAGTGATCAGAAGATCCTTTCTTAACTTTAACGAAGAGCTTTTCGGTCAACTATTTGGAACATTAGTCCGACCGATTTTAGAATATGACATTCAGGCGTTGCGCCCCTGAATAAAGCAAAAATACACTCTCTTGGAGAAGGTGCAACGAAGGAGGACTAAACTGGTCGGCGGGCTAAAGAGCCAACCTTATGATGAACGGCTAGAAAGGCCAAAACACTTTCATCTGTCTTATAGGCAATACAGAAGGTACCTAATAATGGTCTTCAGACTCGCCAGAGAGTTGACCGATTTTTAAACTAGCACAAACGACAAATCTCCGAGACCACCAATGTAGATTGAAGACAAAGTACGCTAAACTTGAAGTACGAGCCAACTTCTTCCCTCACCAGTTGATTGAAAATTGGAAGAAACTGCCTAAGTCGGTTGTTCTGGCGGAAACCGTTCAGGTATTTAAAGGAAGACTTGATTAAATTTTATATGATGTCCATATACTTACTTGAAAAGAACTGATAAAGTGTACACGTATATCTACGTACACATGTGCACGTGTTTTAAATTGTCGTCCAGAAATAGGGTTTTAAAAGTCTATGCCTATCTTCCTTACATATACTGAATTATGCTGAATTGGATCAAGTGACATAAAAATATCTTGAAAAGCGATTTTTGCGTATTAACACTTGCAGCTTGGAAGGAAGTTGGGTTATTTGACAGGAGTAATACCTTAAATTTCTGGCAGCCTCTTCATGTGGTTAAACAGCGTCTTATTTGAGTCTGCTATCCAAAGAAAACTAGAAGATCGAATTCTTGACCTTCGCGGGTCAATCCGACAACAAAAGGCAGCATCCAAACGAAACAAAGGTTGTGGGATAGGTAATCCCAAATTTGAAATCCCACATAGTTTGTCAAATACATGTAACAGGTTTAAGAATACTGCAGGCAAATACAGATTACCAGAAGATTCTCAAAGCAGCGACAGACAAGGGAAGTTATTGTATGCCTCAAGAAGTATTTAGGGGCACATTAGCACCAAGAGAATGAAAAAGGATGAAATCGCTTCATTCCATTTTAGCATCGAGGATGTATTATCTCAAGGGCGCCATAAATAAGAAATTTTGTCCTGGTTCTTACAACGGGTGTTTGTGGCAGAACACTTAAAGACTCTTCAGAGCATAAGAGGAGATAAGACGACAACGCCTTTGCAACTCTTCCCCTTACTTTCGAGGGCTAAGGTGAGTTTCGGTCAAAGTAACTCGAGCAAGTTTCCCAGAGTGACATTTGAAGAATTCTCCACCGATCTAGTGATCCCTCTTTCATTTCTATTCAAGCTCTGAACGTTAACAGATAGTTTGTCTTCTAAGGGGAAACAGCCATCGTAATTGCGTATAAGGAGGAGGTAAGCAATGGTTGCAAACAACTTTAAATCAACCAATTTGTCCTCACTTTATCAAAAAGCAACAGAAGTCCCTGAGAATCATCATGCAGTTCAATTTTGTATTGGAAATGACATAGTACCGAATTTTCGTCCTGGCTTTTGGCTGGGATGTTCACGTTCCTTGAATCGCCTGACTTCTCTGAAAGTCTGAGCTAAAGGCCCAGAGCAAGGTTCAAACTGTGTAAAGCACATATAGATTTTTACGAAGCTTGCAACAGTGTCCCGCGTCAACGTATTTTGCTCAATCGAAACAACTTTAGCAGCAGTGGAAAGTTTCTGACCTGAATAAAGGCACCTCTAGTTGACTGAAAAACACGTTTTTGTGTGTGATGGGACTAATCGAACTAGATGAATTTTAAAAAGTGCCCTCCTCGAAATCCGTACTCGATGCATTATTCGCCGCTCGGTATTTTAACTACGGCCTTTATAAACTAGACCGGGGTAAGATCATATTGACTGGTGACGATAGACTCTGGTAAGTATCTAAATGTTCAAATGACCTGGCAGTTCTTTTAAATAAACTGCACCGGCTGAACATCTGATCCAAGTGATCGCTGATTAATTTCGATGTACCAACCGTGTCATCGTCCATCTGCACTCAACTAAATGCCACTCAAAAAATAGGATAAGACCATGTTATCAGAAGGGCGCTCATTTGCCGATAAGGTCTTCGCAGAAAGATCGTGATACTTAGATATGTTGTGATTTAAAAACGATCATTGCGATGCATCAAGGCTCCGAAAAACGCTGTGGCGACACTTCACGCTATCAAATTGAAGATCGTTGTTATAGATGAAAACATTTTCGGGAGAGTGAATGACACATTCATTCGTTGTAAATTAGAATGAAATATGCATTAACGAAGTTCATAAATTGCAATGAAAAGAATAAATCTTGAGAAGGTGCGGAGTCGAGCGAAAACACTGATCAAACTTTGATTATTCCTATCTCATCCAGAAAACCTGAAGTGCTTGAGCATATGTCATTTGAGTTACGAGCAGCAAGCGGGATATCTTATACTGGTTGGTAAGGTTCTACATAACCTCATAAAGCGCTGTTTTCTATGGACACCTTTTTCTTGCATCTCTCACTCCCTTTTGATGGGCATTTAGAGGAACTGCGCGTGACTATGTTCGGTCTGAGTTCTTCACACAGTGGGTAGTGGAAAAATGGAAATTACTCACCCAATAAGTTTAATTTAATTTATTAAATGCCAGTTAACAGGCATTGTTAAGGGAAGCGATTAAACACAAATCCGACCAGCAGTGAAAAAAAACTCCTGAAGAATAAAAATATAGTTGATGATGGTTTTTATGGTTTGAAGGGTTCAGGAGAAAAAAAACTGCTGACGGTAGATTTTCGACCTTCAAGAAAGGGGGGAGGGGGTTGCGCGGTATCGGAGATTATCGGACGTCAATTCCTTTCATGAAGTTGGGGATAGTCAAAGTAGAGGCGTTGAGGAACAGCTGGTGAGACCGGTCATTGTGTTCAGAGACCACAAACGCCATCACTACGGTACAGTCGATAAGAGTTTTTGGCACCCAAAATTTGTGGGAGCTTTTCTGAATGCAAAAATCGCATAATAGTTCTCTTAAATAAAGGATAATTTTGCAGAGTTTTCACACTCATGGTTAGTTTATTCCAAATAGCAATTGCATTTACAGAAAAGAACCGACGATATTTAACAGTACGTGCCAGAGGCAGAAATAAAAAGACCTCACGGTGACTGTTACGTTGTGGGTGGATATGATGTCTTAAAGAGGTGAGTGGGTTAAATGTGTGATTATATAAGAGCTTAAATAGCAAAAATAGTCCCTTTTGTAATGTACAGAACCATTAAGAATCAAGGCCCGTAAGCCGGCAACGTTCTTGGTAAGACAAATGTCGGTGTTCCGCGGCTAAAATTCTCTTGGTAAAAAAGTGTTGAACGGATTCTATTTTCTTCCGCTCAGTAGCACGCATGAGGCTAAATAAAAACGAACAGTATTCCAGGCCAGGTCTAACGTACATGTTGTAAAGGCGCATTCTGATGTCCCTAGTTTTAAAGTTTCGGAGGACAAACCCGGTCGTTCTGCGTGCTTTGGAGACTATCAAGGCACAGTGCTCCGAGAGATTGAGACTCTTGGAGTATGATATGCCCAGATCCTTTATAACCTTGGGCACATTTATGGAGTGACCTTCAATGTTTAGTTTAGGTTGGTGGTCGTCGCCAACCACCATGACTGAGCACTTATGCCAAGAAAGAGAAAGGCGCCATGTGCGGCACCACTGGGCGAAAGCCTGTAGATCGCTCTTAAGGAGCTCATGCACGATGTCACGATCTGCCGGCTTATATCGATATGCACCTTTAAGATCATCGGCACACATGAAAGGCTTACCATTCTGGAATAAATCGGGTACATCATTAACGAACAGGCAAAATAAAAGCGGGCCGAGTACACTACCCTGAATGACTCCACTCCTCACACGTGTGGGGTTGGAAATAGTATTGGAAATCTTAACTCGTTGCGTACGAGTGCCCAGGTAAGAGGATATAAAATTCAAAAGTTTGCCACCTATTCCGAAGGAGGACAGTTTCAAGAGAAGAAGAGCATGGTCAACGCGATCAAAAGCCTTAGTGAAATCGAAATATACAGTGTAAAGTGCAAAACCATTGTCCCTAGACTGGAGAACATAGTCAAAGAAAGAGAGCTGACAGGCGTCACAAGATCGAGCTTTGATTAATCCATGCTGAGCAGCACTCAGTAGGTTATTCACTGTTAAGTGACGCATCATTTTATCTTTGATTAATGTCTCTAAGATCTTCGAAACTGCGGGAGGGTGTTTATTGGCCGAAAATCATCAAATGATGTAGATTTGCCGTGCTTATGAATGGGCAGAATGTGTGATTCCTTCCACAAGGTAGGATAGGTTTCAGTTTCAAGAGCAAGATTAAATATCTTGCATAAGAGGGATGGGAAGATCGTATTTGCATCGGTTGCAGCTTGTCAAGGAGCATTTGGATGAGTATATGTGATCCCTCAACACGCAAAATTAAAGACTACACTAGAACACACAGACAATTTCCTCAAGAACATTTCTACGCAAACTTTGTGAATATTAATTTCATGGTGACTTTCTATTCGAAATCCATGTATAGTTATTTTAAACAGACCGACATGCGAAAAGTTGGTTTTCTAAGTAGTTCCTTATAACCTTCAGAAATACGCTAAGTTTTTCCCATTCTCAACGGCTAACAAATAAGTCCCAGATGATATTTAATGCTGTTGTTTAAGGACTTCTGGCCAACTTTTGTTGCCAAACGCGAGGAATCGGACAGAATGAAGTCACAAATGACACCGCACACGACATTCTTCCAACGACAGTGTAATAAGACCTTCAAACTGCAGGAGAATGCAATATCATAATTGGAAGATAGAAGGTTACCAGACATTACTGTGGCCTACATTGGATGGTGATGATAATGGTGGTGATGGAGGTGGAGGTGGAGGTAGTGGTAGTGGTAGAAGTAGTAGCACTAGTTGTTGTTGTTGTTGTTTTAGTGGCGGTAGTATTAGTAGTAGTAGTAGTAGTAGTAGTAGTAGTAGTAGTAGTAGTAGTAGTAGTAGTAGTAGTAGTAGTAGTAGTAGTAGTAGTAGTAGTACTGATGATAATAGTAATAAACAAGGCCTTTTGTTGTGAGAAAAACGCGAACCACTGTGAAAGGTGGCGAATTATAGTAGAAATTGTTTGCCGACGGCCATCTGTCGCTCTACAAGCGAGTTCGAGGACCTAGAAAGAGCTTACTTGCTGATCGTTTCTACAGGCTGGCCTCCTCCTAAAAAGTTTCCACGCCTCTTTTAACGTGAAGAATTACAGCATTATTAACTAGTTGGGCTAAAAGTAAACTACGATGAGCTCTCGTGACTGTACCATTACCCATTCAACCGCTGTTTCACTTTGTCTTCATTACGGAACCTTGTGCTAATAGGAAACTGCTCAGAAGTGAATAGACTGAATGAGCTTTCCTTATACACAGAAACACGTCCTGGGGTTTTAGAAGCACTTCAGTTTTTATCATGGCATTCGTATGGTGCAGATTGCACTCTGAGTACATGGCAGAACAGTCGAGATCCCCAGCGAATGAGAATTCGGAGAAAAAGGTTGCAGATCTGTTTAACCCCTATCAGAAACTCAAGCATATTTTTTTCACGGAAATTATGCATATTTGTCATGACTTCAACACTTCCATTGTCTCCAGTCCTGAAACTTAGAATTTGTTTGGATTCATCAGTTTCGTGCAAATTACAGGCTGGCTCGTTTTCGATACTCGGACCTTGTGATCTCGTTCATCCATTTATTTTCTCCTTAAAACAAGTAAATTATCTAATTATTCCCGTCATTTTAAACAACGCCCTTATGGGAAACTTTTTATGGTTTCTCCCGGGCGTCTTTGCTCGAGATTAACAGTGTAGCCAAACTTCCTTGTTTATATTGTTTTGAAATAAATTATCATAAACGGTGCCCTTAATCCAGTATTCCAGAAATCACAATGAGATCGCTTTTTGCAAGTACTTCACACAGTTTATATAGTCCAAGTCAGAGTGTTGTGCCCCATAAATATAAAGATATCTGTACATCTTTATGCATTTCTGCCAGAACCTGCAGGTATAATTATACCTAAAAAATTGGGCATTCGAATATTTAGCGGACACCAAAAATGTGATTAACTGAGAGGCAGTTGCTGGTGGGTCATCTAGAACACAAATAAGGTTTAAGGCAATCTGTATATTACCGTTATGTTAGCACGGACCATGGTATCCTTTTCACGCACTGACGACTCAGTGTAAAACATTTTACAATGATTAATGACATATGCTACTCTTCGAACTTATTTTTCCACTCTTGGCTTTAACAGATTTCAAGATGATCCCCACTAATCTCGCATGATTGCGTTTGCAAAATATATTTTAATGCACGCCAAATACTTAGTTGCGTTCCTCAGTTTGTGTATTACGGCCTCGAATGTAACGTAAAAACTCTAAATTATCCAGTCCTTTATTCAAATGTAGATTGCGGATGGAATAATAAAATCTTTCTGTGTGGTTCTAAGCTTCTTACAATACTTCTCTGTCCTGCGCGAGGTGCAGAGACCAGTCAGTTTGCTATCACTCTCATGGGAGCGCCTTCTGGTAGGAAGACATTGCTCAAGAGCCATGAAAGTTGCTTGCAAGCATTTTGGTAGTTATAAGTTAACAACGGCTGACATTTTTGGAGCTGCAGCTGATCTGGTCCACGTAATGATCTGATCCTCGTAATGTAGCGGCTAGGTGGAGCGGTGTGTAGTCTGTGCTCAGTGTGCTACAATCTTCCTGTTCAATCACAAGTTTTAAGAAGACAGCATTTGTCGGGATGAAGGACTTATTTTATACAGAACCCATAACTGTCCTCTCAGATGGCAGTGGCCGCTGGCGAAGTTAGAGCTGGTGTTGACTGCGTCCAGTCATGCCTGAGGGTTTTGGGAGAGTGGTGGCAGCCGCTTGTGTAGGTTCGTGATCCAAGCTCAAGTGGTCTCCAATCGGTGTGTGTCTGCATTTGCCGAGGGGTGATGTCCCAGTGGCTTATGTTGCTGACTGCAGAGTGGTTGCACGTTCATTTGACGCATGGGTAGTCGCAACCCTGTACGAACGAAAGTATGTTCAAGCTGAAGTCGGTCAAGTGGCCTCAGGCCAGCGCGTCTGAAACGGCTTGCTGCAGGGGGTGAATGACCTTAAGGCAGCGAGGCTTTGAACAATGACGCCAGACTGGCCGTGCCGGCTGCCCGCAACAGTAATCTTGTTGGACGTTCGATGAAGACACTAGAACAAGTTCTACATAAATTTAAACATGGTCACGTTTCCTGCCCAAATTTCACTGTCATCCATGAGCACCAGGTAGCTGTTAGGAAAAATCTCTAGCAGGTCGTTGTTGTAATTTGAGAGCACCTTCATGCACCGGCGACTTAGATGATGCATTATCCCTCGTACTTTTGCTGCAGGTCTCGGGTTTTGAACAATTCTTGATCTGATAAATCGTAGTTGGGATTTCTGTCCATATCCTGCAGGTACAACAAGGTTTTCCTCTGAAATTTGCAAAGTAGCGAATACGCTGTAATTATGTGATATTAAAAAATTACCTGTTATTAGTCAGACAAACAAGTGTGGTTCTAAAGACTTATGCTTTTCATTTGGCCGCATATGATTACACTTAAAGGCATTTACAGTATTTTAGTGCTAGCTTTCATGATTAGCACGGGTAGCAATGTATTACGCGCGTTAGTCGGTTGAGTAGTGGAATTTCTTTAACGACATATGCATGTTTGGTCAGTATGGCTTACATCCAATGCTGTTATTTTGCTTCTTCGATCAATTCAATGCTCAGAAAATACTTTACTAAAAAACGACTCATTTCAATTGTATTTTTAAAAGGAAGACAGCACGCTAAGGCAGCTTCAAATCACAGGCCAAGGTCTCCTGTTTGCGTACTTTTTGCTATACAATAACTTCCACTCCTTTTGTATGAAAACCAGATGTGTTGTGCAGGAAACCAGATTGGATGTGACGCATAGATGGATTGTTTATTTCGTCAGTTGCTTGTGCCCAATCTCAACAGCAGTTGACTGACTGGCTCGAAAAGCCAACTGAGACATGGGAAACTGAAAACAGCGTGAGGCTGACCCCCACCCCAACGTCACATCAGAGCGCTCTCTACCATTGGCAAGCGTTTACACTTTTGAACCATCAATACGTGCCAAAAGTCGCGATATGAATGGCTGCCAACTGGTGGGATAACTCGGTTCCCTTAGAACGGAAAGTCAGACTGCAGTGATTCCTTAATATGACCGAAATTGCACTCCCACTCAGGTAGGGTCCTTGGCGCTCCGTTGTTCCTGTGAGGACCCGGCCCGTCCTTCTCGAACAGGACATCTATGGCACGCGTAGACGGGATGCTTACCCTTGCCGGCCGCCGTACCGCATCTTGCCATCGGGTGATGGAGAAGAGAGCGCGGCAAGTGCTGCCTAAGTCATTGCTATGCTCCTATGTGCTGAGGCACCTACTGGGCATTACCGTCTGCGATGGTCGAAACTTTGGTATAAGCAATACAATTTTTCGACCGATTCCCTTCTGGGACCGGAAAATCGGACCTTACCTAAATGAAAGTCAAGTAGGGCCAGGTATTAGAAGTCCCACTGTTTTTAAGAAGTTAGAGGTAGATTCAGCTTTAAACCCTCCATTTGCAGATTAGCTAGTTGGGTGACACATAATATTCTCGTTTTCTAAAAATTTTAGTTTACGTTAAAACAAAAAACTGCTTCTAGGTCCGTAAATAATATATAGACGAAACTCTTCAAGGAAATCGTTTTCTTGACGTCACGAAATATTGGGGACTCAGAGTTGGCGGATTTCTCGTCATAGGAATTCACCTTGCGAAATTCATGACATATCGTGAGATATGTAACATACTAGAAGTGTTTCATGTTAGCTTACTATTTCCTCTGGTCATATGGATAGAAATCTGGGAAACAACGTGTGAAGCCGTACAGATGATCCCATATACGATAGGCAAGAACTTACTTTCCCTTCAGATACCGCCGTTAAACATGTGGAAGTATCTTCGATGACTTTATTCCAGACTTCGGTCCTACATTTTAACATCTGGTTTCAAAACAGAATAGCCATCCTATGCACCCAACACCTGTTACGCTTAACAGAAAAGGAAAGACGCTAGGTGATTATATGACCAAAAAAATCTGCTTCCGTCTGATTTGCTGTTTTCACACAACCTGCGCCTTAGCTCCCACGTCACGCTTCATGAAACCACCGTTATCGCACTATAATTGTGAATTCAGTACTCTGTACTGGAATGCACAGGCTTTTTGCATTCCGGAGAAATAATATCTATCAACTGTCTGCAAACAAGGGAGGCCGCTGTTTCCGTCTCTCAGATGACGTCGAGAATTATTAAAATGAACCACGCCCCTCATTGTTCTCACGGCAGTAGTTCCTTCAAGCATTTCTTAGAGAGCTTGAAAACCAATAACTATAACAACTTAAGGCAAAATTGGAATTTCTACTGTGTGGACATCAACGATTCCCTTTCGGTCGTTGTTTCCTGCGGAAACATTCAAGTACTAAGCGACTCTATCATTATTTCTTTATATTAATAGGTAATGCTGTAGTAAAATATCACTGGGACGCCTCCGCATATTCCTTTTACACGATATCTGTCATGTGCAAGCACTCTTGCCTGTTAGTCACCGGTCACCTTTTGCATTTATGCTTGCGTCCGCTGTCTTAAAAAGGATTCCGTTCATTTTGTGCTCAAAATTATACAGCTATATCTTTTACACACTGCCTGCTGTTTCGAATATCTGTTCAACCTCTGACCCATTGTGTTCACGTGGAGCTCTCCTTTTTTGGTGAGAGCTCAATGACGAAATTTTTCACGGTTAGATTCCAATAAGACAATAGTGTCGTTTATTTCCAAACGCCCAGCTGCACTTCGTCTTTATTGGAACTCCGAATTCGCACTTAGTTGCCGAATGGACCCGCGCCTCTTATTAAATTTTGGTTAGATCGCAGTTGGTAGCCAGGAATGACGAGGCGGACAGCCAGGTCCCTGTCGGACGGGAATGGTGGGAAAGGGGGGTTATAAGGGTGGGATTAATGGAAGGGCTGGTAGAGGAATGCTGGGGGTTCTCAGTAAAAGTAAAGTTATTAGGGAAAGTGCTGGGAAGTTGTAAGGTGAAATAATGGCAGAAATTTAAACCCTACGCTCAACCCTAAAATACAACGTTGACCAGAACCGTAAAGCCTAACCCTAAGCCTCAAAACCGAAACGTAACCAAAATCCTAAAATAAGCACTAACCAAAAGTAAAGTCATAACCCTAACCTTGACCCTAAGCCTAATCTTAGCCCTAACCCTAACCTTAAGCCCAGCCCTAACCCTAACCTTAAGCCTAACTCTAACCTCAACTGTAACCCTAGCGGGAACCTAAACCCTAACCCTAACACTGGAACCTGACCCTTAAACGCAAACCCTAATCATAAAACTTAACCTACACCTAACCCTAACCCTCATTTAACCCAACAGCCTGACCGAAACGGGCGACCTGCCTAACTCAGTAAGAGCACATCTACTGATAACAAGTTCCCTAGACAAGGTAAGCGCACCTACTGATAACAAGTACGTACGTCGACAGTATCAACGTATAATGTCTGGCTACCAACTGCGATCTTACATAATTTTTTTTCATGTGTAACAGTTTCATGGATGCTGATGACTCTTCGATGAACTTCACCTTCTCCGTTTGTTGTCTAAATCAGTGGGCGCTTGATTTTGCTGGCAACACCCGACGAATCCGGCAAAGCATTTTTAAAGCGAAGCAAGAGGGTAGCCGTTATCGACTGGGTCCAGAACTTGAGCTTTCCGGTTATGGATGTGAAGACCACTTCCACGAAGCTGATACCTACGCTCATTCCTGGGAGTGTCTTGCTGAAATTCTAAAGTCCACAGCCCAAGACGATGCCTATAGGGACATTGTTTGCGACATTGGGATGCCGGTGCTTTTCGAGAAAGTCCGCTTCAACTGTCGGCTAGTCATCCTCAATGGTCGCATCCTTCTCATTAGACCAAAAACTGTACTTGCTGACGGCGGACTACACCGCGAACCCCGTTGGTTTACCGCTTGGAATCACGCGGAGAGGTTACGTCAGTATCCACTTCCGGAAATAATAACTTCTGCAACACCCCTTAGGCAGACATCTGCTCCGTTTGGATGTCCACTCCTGCGTTTCTCAACACCCTCCTCTGACTCTCTACTACTGGTTGGGCTGGAAACGTGTGAGGAGTTGTGGGTAACTGCGCCCCCGCATGTGGCCTACGCACGGGCCGGCGCCGATGTTGTTATGAACGCCAGCGCCAGCCACCACGAACTGCGGAAGCTGGGCAGTCGTGTACGCCTTGTGCAGTCGGCTTCGGCCAAGAAACTGGCCTACGCCTATGCCAACCTCGTCGGCTGTGATTCCGGCCGTGCATGCTACGATGGCGGTGCAATTGTTGCTGTTTGTGGTTCGGTGGTTTGCTTAGGCAGTTGCTTTGGCCTGGACGAGGTCCAAACAACCACTGTGACCATCAATATTCAGGATGTGCGGAAGTCGAGGAAGTCTGATGCAGTGCAAGTGACTGAGGAAGTTGAGATATTGGATGTAAGTTACTTACTGTCCCCTAGTTCTATTCGTGCATATTATTAGTTGTGGCGTAGGCTGCAAATCAGTCACTGGTTGGTCCACGGGATACCAGAACATGGGGGAAATTGAATAACCAGCGAAGTGAGTTTGTCAGTATAGTCCTTTAGGCACTGACTTCTATGCACCTGTCTTGTCTGACATTGTTGCCGAGCAAAACTGTATTTACAAGTCAAACTCTCATTGCCTCGCGAGGAGCTGGGTTTATCATATTACAAATAGGTCATAGTTATTTGTTTCATAGCATGATTTTGGTTAGCTTATCGTTTTTTCTTGTCTCTCTCAGTAGTTTCCTACCCAAAGACAACAGCAATTAACCGCAATTTTTCCTGTTTCGCGGTCCACAACTGCTATTTTCGACCCCGAAATTGCCACATCATTCTGGCCCGACCAGAGTCTGCTAGGTCGTTTTCCCGGCCCATTGTGCGCCGACAATCTCGTGTGCGACACGCGTAGACTGACTGGTTAGCTTTGTCAGACACTAAGCTCGTGCGGCAGATAGTGCGCAAGTCTGCTGTCCTGCATCCACTACCCTGTGGAACACACCGTTAATAACATCCTTCGCAACGGCCGAACTGACTTATCGTTGGTTATTTTTAAGGCATGATTATACACTAGGTTGTCGGCCGTTTCCAGTCAACTGAAACTGCATTGTTGTTAGTTCGATCCATATAAAGTTCCCTTAAAAGCTCTGTTTACCTCATGTCGATGGGCTTTGAGATATGAGAGCCGTAGACCAATCATAGGACAGCAGGTTATGCACGTCTCGCCCCAATAAATTCTAAATTGCAGAACTTGTTCAGTAGGCCGGCATAGTAAGGACAGACGTAAGTACCACTGTATTGCTGCCACCCAGACATTTGCTATTCTGGCATCTTGGTTTGGACTAAAGTTATTGTTTGTGTTTCAGAATACTTTGCTTCAAACTTTTTTGCATGTGAATGTCTTTGGCCCCCGTGTTCCACTTTGCTATTTGATACAAGTAATGCTTTCATGATTCGTAATCACAGTGATGTCCACTTACCCTCAGTGGTATGCTCTGACACACGCAAATGCTTTAACATATAAAAACCCGTAGCTTTTTCTAGATTTACGCAACAGTTAAAAGGCGAAGGACGAGTATGTTCTTGGTCGAGCGGCCAACCCTTATAGAGGGTGCCTTGCTAGAGCATTTCGGAGACGAACGCACATGTTCTTCATCCTTTTCTGAATGAAATTCTGGGGAGCATTAAAACGCTCTGTTCCTTCATGTACCGTCCTGACTGACACCGACAATTCAAGTAATGGTTTTATTATTCGTAATCACAGTGATGTCTACTTACCCTCAGTGGAATGCTCTGGCACATGTAAGTACTTTAACGTATAAAAACTTTTAACTTTTTTCTAGATTTACTCAACAGTTCAAGGGTGAATATGTTCTTGGTCGAGCGGCCAACCCTCTCTAAAACCCCTCCTTATAGAGAGTGCCTTGTTAGGGCATTTCGGAGACGAATAAACACGTTATTCATCTTTTCCTGAAGCAAATTCTGGGGAAGCACTAAAATGTTTTGCCCCTTCATGTACCGTCCTGACTGACACCGACAATTCTTCTGCCACAAACGTAAAGAGTCCTCCTTCTCAGAACCGTTTTCTTTACCTTCATCGGACTTTTGGTCACTGCGTCTCATCGTTCTTCTCAACTAACTACCAAGATAGTAATTCTGCCGTCACTTACTTCAGAATGCAGTTTGGTGAAGGGCGTAATATGCTGTCATTTGTGCCTGCTCCCTGTAATCCATGCTGAAGCACGTTCGGGCATGCATCTCAAAAGTGCTTGAAGACAGGTTACTCTTCTAACCGTTGGAATTCTGCTTTTTAGGTGGGACAGAAGTGCATCAGCCCTTACAGCCAGACCTGTCGCATGCCTCCTCAAAAATTCAACAGTTGGGGGACGTTAGCTGACCTGTCCTTGTTTCAGGTGCACGGTAAGGGTCGGTAACGCTGTCCTGATCCCAACTGTAAGCGCGATGGGGGCATTGCAAGTGAAGTAAGCGGAAAGCTGATGCTGAAATCGTTAGTTGAAAATTAGTCAAAGCCAAACCGGAAAAGGGCAACGCGGTGTTTTGGTTTAGCGGTAGGTTTGGGGTTAGTGTCAGGCTGAGAGTCGAGTTTAGGGCTAGGGTTTGTGTTACGTTCAAGGGTTATGGTTAGAGTTGGGGTTTGGATTGCGGTTTAGGTTTACTTTTAGTGTCAAGGTTGGGGTTAAGGCTAGTGTTAGGGTTAGAGTAGGGTTACGGTTTAAGTTAGGGTGAGGGTTATGATAAAGGTTGGGATTGTGTTTACGGTTAAGCTTATGGTCAGGGTTAAGGCTAGGCTTAGGATTATGCTAACGATTGCGGTAGGTTTAGGATTAGGTTATGTGTTAAGGTCAGTGTAAGGTTTATAATTACGTTAAGGATTAGGTTAACTTTTGAGGCTACGGTTAGGTTTACTGTTAGGTTTAGCGTACTGCTGCCCCGCTTTTCCTATCAGCCAGATCTTCTGTGGGAATTCTAGGCTTCCTTCAATCTCGCGGCAGATTTTTCCTACATCAGGTTGCCTTTTCCGTTTCAGCCTCGGATACTTTCCCCACTAACGATTTCAGCATTTCCCCTTCGGCTTACTTTACTTTCAGTGCCTACACTGCGCTAGCACTAGGAACCAGGACGACGTACTCGACTCTTGCCCAGGGCACAAATGGCGATTTCTGTCCTGAAACCTGGCCACTCCTGTGTGCTTCTGCAGCCGAAGGAGTGTGAACTCTGTAGCCCAGGTGGTGACGACGTTTGACCCAAACTTCTAAATTACCAACTGGAACTGCGTTCAAAAGCCATATGGGTCGATAGCCCGACTTTAGGGGTGTCACTGGCTAACATCGGTTACTTAGATGAAAGTAACCACTCCGATGATGCTAGTCTTTGTCAGTAACCCCTCACACTTAGGGAGCTTCTTATTTAACTCCGTGCACACAGGGAAAAGTATTCTCAGTCTTTATGACAGGCGTGACTTCCGAGGCGCATTGCGTTTCAAACGTTTTATTTGAACCCTCGATCCTTTATGCCATTTGGAGACTAAATATCTTCATAGTCTCTCTGCATCGGGACCCATCACCCCGCACACAGCTAATACCTACTTGTTTATGACCTCAGTAGAATTTAAAAGTTTGTATTACAGTTGATGCCTTCTCGACGCTTCGTTTCTCTCCCTTTGTTTTCTCGCCAATGTCACTGATCTGCTGGGCGTTTATTTTGGACCTTGCGTTTTATAATTATTGTCCTTCTTACACCCTCTCCCCCTCCCCCGTTTTTTCCTTAGGTCAACTTTAATTTGTTCGCCTCGTTGGCCGAAGTTGTCAAGCTACCTAGTCCCATCACCCGCCTCTCCTCGCCGGAGGAGGAAATAGCTCTGGGTCCAGCTCTCTGGCTCTGGGACATTCTACGGCGCAGCGGTTCCGGCGGCTTCTTCCTCTGCCTCAGCGGTGGTCTCGACAGCTCGAGCGTCGCATGCATTGTCTTTAGCATGTGCCAACAGGTAGTACCAGCGTGTTCTTCTTTGCGGCTATGGTTTCTGGGGTAACAATCGGGAGATGGCAACCAAAAAAATCCGTTACCTAGAAATAATACCTTTAACAGTGGGCTTTAACGCCTTTAGGCTATATCAGTGGTTGCAGGCCTACTTTCACGCACTACTTGGACTTTTCGCGACGGCCTAACATGGGCTGGCCGGACGAACATCGCAGGAGGTTACATGGACGATGGTCGCTGTTACCCAGCCTTCCCCATCGTTACACGCGTGCACCTGAATATACGGCATACATTCGCATTATGGCAGTTTATTACAAAACAATAGGAATTATAGATAGGATAAGTCTGCACAACATGGGACATGAACAGTTTCCAGGCATCTGTCAAAGACATGGCATTGAGGTCAAACCAAAGACGATACTATACTTCGTCTATGTGAGCCCACACAGCTTGACCACATACAGGGTTTCCCTCGTGGAGTTTCCTTTTCA